TTGGTGGTTGACATATTTGATGCCTTCCATAGGCTGCTTTGTTCTATAGCCGATCCTTAGTAAACAGATTCTTACTGCTCTTGTGCCCATTTCCTCACTGGCCCATGGTAATAATAAGCCTATTTTTTTCATCTTTTCTCCTCCTTTCACTGCTTATAGAAAAGATGAGGCCAGGGAGAGGGAAAAAGACTTTTTAGTGACACCTTTACAGGTGCTTTTATATTGAACAAAATGCAATGTTCCTGTCAAACATGAAATTAAATGAGTTGCGTAGTATACTTTCTTTAATGATGCTAGGATTTGCTGTGCTAGATGAAGGATGACAGGATATATTAAACTTGATTTGAGGAACTATTGAAAAGAGAGAAGTGGGTGGTAAATAGAAATTGCTTATAATTTGTCGTATCTTTATAGCCTTGTGGTTTTGTTTACTATTTATTTTTAATGTATCATATTTACTTGAAAGGAAGGGAAATTTGAACTCAAGATTTATTTATTTAAGTTTATTGGCTGCCCAACTTTAGAGGACTCTGGGCAACAGTGATTCTTGCCCATCCCCTCTGCCAGAATATTTTTAGGCAACATAGAAATGTATTTGCAAGCTTTACAGAAAGGAATAGAAATTTAAAAAGAAATAAAAAAGAGATACATGTAAAACTACCCCCCCCCCCAAAAAAAAGTAAAAAGGAGAAACTCTTGTTGATATATGTCACACATTAATAAATGTCAAACAGATTTATAAATCTTTTCGTGGGGAGAAAATAGTAATTAATGGTTTCTGACATAAATATCATAAATTTATATGCTATATAAAATATATTGAGTTATTTTTTTTCTCTTATTAAATAAAATTGCTTTCTCACACATTTCTGTAATCTAATCCTTAATATCAGAAATATTATTACTTTTCAGTTTTTCAAAATAATTCTCTCAATTCAGTGTAGCCATCACTCCTCCAAAATAGCCAAATACCATAGTTTCAAGGCATAATTAAAGGAAATAAAAAATCCAGTTAATTTTATGTCTTAAATACTTAGCAAAATGTTGAATCACCTGTGTAAAATTTTGCAGTGAAAGCAATTATCTAAAATTGTAAGATATCCCCAACATATAAAAATAATTTATAATCAAAACCTTCTACAGTAATATCACTAGATTGCCTAATAAAAATGGCTAAGGGTACCGAAATTAAATTGAACAAAGATAAGTATTTTCACATTTCTTCATCATTATATTGGTGGATCTTATTAATACGTAAGTAAACATAAACAACTGCAGTGCTGGGGATAGATTTATTTGGCGCAGTTTACTACAGGAAGAAGCTGAGAAGGCATGCTTTTGAGGCATTAAGCTATTTCTTTCCTTTTATTAGCAACAAGGCATTGAGTTGTCAATGATCGATGAATTTCAGGGACTTTATTAGATGGTTGAGCTATCAATTATTATCACACTTCATCACACTTCATAGTACAATGTGTAGCTCAAACCCCAAACACTTCCTTGTATGCAGTGTCTTCAGTATTTTTAAGCTACTCTGTTGGGATGTCCCTTATCCGGCTTCAGAGAGAATAATTTAAGGTCATTGAACAGAGCTCTGAATAGAGAAGAGGCTTCAATGTTTATATTCATTAATGAAATACACTTCTGCATGGTATCCTTCTTTTCCCCCTAGAATACAAAATCCTGTTTAGAGAAATTGTACCATTCTATCATTTCTGAAGAGTCATAAATAGACATGTTTCATCCGCTGTTCATTCTTTTTTTTAAAAAAATCATATTTTTTTCTCCTTTTAATCTAAAAATTGTGGTTGACAGGCCTAGTTTTCTTCTCTCTCTCTCTCTCTCTCTCTCTCTCTCTCTCTGTGTGTGTGTGTGTGTGTGTGTGTGTGTATGTATTTGTTTTCTGATATAAAACTTTTATATATATAAAAGTGACTGTTGCAGTGTTAATCATCATTGCTGACTAGTCTGTTTACTGGTTTGCATCTTTCTCAGCTTTGACATTATAACAAAGACTTGAAAACTATGAATGCATCCTTTTATTTATTATACAGAGGCTCTATTTTGGTCTGAAAAATCCATTCACTTGCATGTTGCCTTGCCTTTAGAAATCACAATCAAATTATGATCAAATGTGAATGTTTATGTTTTAATTTTAGCACAACTTTTACTGGAAAGGGGAATAGAGATAATTTTAAAAGCCATCTTAGAATATGTGAGTGAGCGAATAAGTGAGGGAAAGAAAGCATTTATTGTAGTTGTATAATTTATGGAATATTCCTACAAACAAGATAAAAGGCACAATGTGAATGTCTTAGTCATGTGACAAACTATATACAAGGCTAGTTTCTATAGCCTTTGTGAGCTGATGCTTATTGTGCTGCTTGAAAACATGTTGGTTTCTTTTGTTAGGTTTTGTGCCTGAAAATGTTTATAAGAAATAACTTTGAAGAATCTTTTCCTCCCATTTTACTTTGTAATCAGTTGTGTGTGCATGTGTGTGTGCGCGTGCAATTATAAAAGAAATACTTATTACGTATAAATATTGATTCGCTGATTTTCCCATCAATCTACTCACCTCTAATCTCAATTGCACACACACGTTGATTCATGCATCACCTTCTTTCACTCATTCCATCAGTCTGTTTAACTGTTATTACTCTATCCTCAAAAACCAATATAATATTCTTGTTTAAAAAGTTCTATCTTTGTATGGATTGGCTCATGGATATTTGTAAAACTGCCTTCTCCAAGTGGAATTGTCCTGTTCAATATGTTATTTTATATGAGTAGTCCTGTTTTCAGGAAGTCAGGGAAAGAGCTTGAAAACTACAGTTTTCAATTGAGGGTTTCTGGTTTATTAAATAGTTTCCTCCTAAAATCTGGTTAACTTTCATTCTCATGACCTTCTGGAAGCTGATAAAAACCAAATTCTTCCAGAGACCATTTGGCACTGTTGGGGATTATTAGTATTAATGCTTTTGAATTATTTGTTAATGTTTTATTATTGTTAACCTCCAAAATTCCATGGGGATTATGGTGATATATACTGTAACAAACCAGTAAATTAAATTGAGGATATTTTTAATGGAGCACCAGCAGAAATGAAAATTTCTTTTACTTAACTATTAACTTCTCCCTAAGCGACGATAGAATGTCTTCTATATAGATAGTTGGCAAATGAAATTTTCTATTTCTAGTATTCTATATAATTATTCTTTGGGATTTCTTAAGGATCTATAGACATTTAAGCTTGCAGAGATGACATGTGTACTTCCTTTATAATTTACATGTATTTTGTAATTTCATGTCTGCATTGCCATCAGTTTACACACAGAGAGAGAGAGAGAGAGAGAGAAAAAGAGAGAGAGAGAGAGAGAGAGAGAGAGAGAGAACAAAATATATAATAATAAATAGGTTTTTTTAAACAGAGGGGAAAAACCCACAAGCAAATAGAAAAATGGCATAAAACCTTGTAGGAGAATTACATGAAATGTAATAACAATACTGTATAGTAGAAGACAGTTACATAATGCTTATTTTTGAATAAGAGCAAGCAAGTAGGGACTTGAAAAATGAGCATTTTAAAATCCAGTGAGATGCAAAGTGTTGAAAACAGAACTATCTGTGGCAATCAGTTTGTAAGAGAAAGCAAAGTCTAAGGACTATTACTTGGAAAAGCATGTAAAATTCCAGTCCATTTGAGGATACGCTTAACAAAATCTCTCATCCTAATCGGTGTTATAACTCCAGACATGTGGAATCTGAAATTGTGCAATAATTCACCCTCATTAACCATATCAATATGAATAAAATGTCATGTCAGGGTCCCAGGAAATCTGGTGCACTCCTTTCCCAGAAAAAAACCAAGGGCAGCATAAAAGTTAAGCAACCATGCTACTTAGTCTCTCTCTTTTCCTCTCCATGATAATTATGGGTTATGAAAGAGTGATGAGAAAGACCTTTTCACTTATTGACAATCTGCTGCCAGCCACAGCTTCCTAGCATGCTGTGACATTTGCACCCAGCATGCTATTCTTTTTAGGTGATCATAATTTTCACATAGCAAAGTTGTGCTCCAGTGCACTGGGGTGTCACTACCTTCTGTAGTTTTATATATGTTGTAGCATGTCATTAGAATTAGTTGAGAGTGTCTGAAAAAACTCATCCTTTCCAAGAACCAGACAGGTTAAGATTGCTCATTGTAGCTACATTTATACAACATATAAAAAGTATGACAGGGGCTTTTGCAAATCTTCGCAAATTTGATTTAAGACCAGATCTCTCTGTGATGCCTCCTCCTTTTATTCAGTAAACAAAGCGAGAGAAGTCTTTAGCTTCAATTCTAAGTAGTATTAATTTCTTCTCACTCTTCTACATTTTTGGAACAAATAATAGCAGGAATAATGGAATCAGCTGTAGTTTGAGTTAGAAGCAACTGCCCAGACATTTTAAGTAAGTTCTTTCTCTATTGTTGTCCCAAAGGTACTTTTTCCAAAAGGCAACTGGACTTTCTTGTTTTTGTTTTTTTTTTAAACGTTTTGTTTCTCATCCAGAAGCTTATTCAGTTCTGAAGAACCGGGACAAACATTTGGGACAACGATGACCTGGATGATTGAGAATTTCCATAGACATTTCTCTGCCATTGTAGTAAGGCTTCCTGTACTGTATCTAATGAAGCTTACAGTATGTTATCTGTAGAGTCTACAGTGTTGGTTAAATACAAGCATTGTTACACTTAGGTAGGTCTATGCCGACTTCCTAGTCAGAGATAAAAAGTAAGGAGTTATTATGCTCCCTGGCATACTTTCTCTCCAGGTGGCTTCTTTATCTCTGCAAAGGGTAGTCTTTGTGATTCCTCCTGTTCACAATCACTTCAAAAGCTTCAGCCCAAGCTCTCCTGAAAATACAAACCTTCAACAGTCAATGGTGCCTAGATCTGGTTGTATCTGCAAATATGTATATGTATATCTTCATCTGTCCTTTCTTTATCTTCCCAGGGTTTTTAGGTGTCTTACCATAACAAAGTAGGAATCCATTCTATTATATATAAGGTTGTGCAGTGATGTTGATTGGAAGAGGAAACCTGATTCAGAGCAAGTGTGGATGTATGTGCCATACCTTTTGGCAACCCCTTAAAGTAGATGTTTTCCCTTAAGCTTCATTTGACCCTGGAAAAAATGTATTTGATTTAAGGCTGTGTCAACAGGTGTAACATGCATATTTCTGCTCACTCAAAAGTATCTTTTCCCTTTTAACTCAGATACATGACATGGCTCACAATCATAATCACAACAATAATTATCAGACATTTGAATCTAATCTTCTGTATTCTTTTTTATGATGGCCAAAATGTTACACTTGAACAGGACAACAATATAATTGTTGTCATAAATTCTATATTCTGCCAAAGACATTAGAAATTTGAGATAAATAGGTGGGCTTGAGGCTTGAATCACATGACTTTTTTAAAAGTATTTCTTTTGAGAAGGCAATCGGCTTTGATAACTACAGATTTCTTTTTTGTTTATAAAACCTGTACCTTTACCTCTTACATTTCTCTCCTTCACGGAGCACGATGGCTCAGTAGTTAAAGACCCTGAGCTTGTCAGCTGGAACAGAGTGAGCTCCTGTTATTTGCCCAGTTCCTGCCCACCGAGCAATACAAAAGCATGCAAATGCAAGTAGATAACTAGATACCACTTCAGAGTATAGTCATTCTGCCTCAGAGTATAGTCATTCTGGCCACATGACCATGGAAATGCCTTCATACAAATGCCCCCTAGAGTCAGAGACAGGAAATCTTTACCTTTATATACAACACACACACACACACACACACACACACACACACACAGCGTGGCACTTTAATATGTTGTAGTAATTCCTTAAGATGTGTGGTTTAATGTACTTAATCCTGGGCTGGATTAGTCATTTGCTTCCTTAAGCAAAAAGTTTGCGAATATTTCTGCAAAGTCAGTTCTCTCATATCAATAACTTGTGCCAGATTGAGCGCTCTTTATGATATTGTGAAAACAATTATACAACAGACAACCTAGACATAGAGAGACAGAATGTGAATATCTCAGTAGAAATTGAATTATTGGTTTCTTTCATTCATTCCCTCTATTAAAGAATCTATTTGCTAACTGATTGTATTTTACTGTGATGTAAAATCCAAATAGAATGAAAGGTGCTATAGTTGTTAAGGTGTTAGAAAGCCATCAGGAAGATCCAAGTTTAAGTCCATGAAGACATGGAAGCTTACTGGTAGCCTTGGGCCAACAAGTCACTCTTGGCCCAACTGACTCTGCAAGCTATTTGTGAGGATAATAGTTGAAGCGGGAGTAACAATATTAAGAGCTGCCTGGATAACTCCTATTCTGTAGATGGGGAGGACTGTTGGTTTATGGTAGCACCAGGTAGGATTCTTTTTGTCTGATGAAGTGAATTGCAGCGTAATAAAACATATTCCTTTCAATAAAATGTGTAGGCTGGAAAAGGTGCTACTAGCTTTCTGATTTTTCCTCCCTCTCAAATGTCTTAGCTAAAATGAGCATTTGTGATTGAGAGTAGCTAATGAAATCTTCTTGTTAACACTGTGGCCTGATTCACTCCTCTTCATTTCTAACTATATTTAAATGCAGTGCATCAGTGCAAAAGGGAGATGCTGATTTTGATCCAGTCTCAGCTATAGGAGCTCACTATCCCAAAGTACACAGTAATTATGGTGGGAGATATTTGGAGGAGGGAGTGCTATGGACACTGATTGACATTCTTGAAGGAAGCATGAGTTATAAACCAAACAACTTGAGGAAGCAGGTATATATAATCTACTTATGTAAACCTACTTAGTATATTAAATAAGTAAAATATAATTGCTATAAAAATGAATAATGACCACAACATATCAGAGTGTTAAGCCTTAAGCAAATTAAGATGTGTGGTTTAATGTACTTAATCCTGGGCTGGATTAGTCATTTGCTTCCTTAAGCAAAAAGTTTGCGAATATTTTTGCAAAGTCAGTTCTCTCATATCAATAACTTGTGCCAGACTGAGCACTCTTTATGATATTGTGAAAACAATTATACAACAGACAACCTAGACATAGAGAGACAGAATGTGAATATCTCAGTAGAAATTGAATTATTGGTTTCTTTCGTTCATTCCCTCTATACGTGCTAAAGAAAGAGGAGGACTAGACTTGATGGCCCTAAACCTGATGTTCTTGTGTTTTGCTACTTCCAAATATTTGCAAAATATTTCATTATTATACTTAGTTAGACTTCCAGCTAATTAGAGCCTAAGTGAGTTTGTCCCCATCCTTATAGCCATCCAGAAGTCCCTCAAAGTACGGTTATGTCAATGAGTTTGCAGATCTCAGAGAAATAGGGAATTGTTGAGATGGCTTCATTGTCTAAGGCTGTGGGATTGTGTCTAGTGTGTGCAGGACATGTGATGCAGTAATATATCTTGTAGGAACTCCATTTTTATATTTCTGGGTATCGGTACTATATCCATAGACATGATTTTCTATTAAGATGAAACAAACTTAACATTCTCAGTAAAATCTTCATCATAAAACACAATCAGACAAACCACCAACACTTCACCATTTCATATATGCAGCATATGTGTCACATGGATGTAACCAAAATCATTTCAGTAGTGCTTACTTTTCAATATATAATACAGAATGAAAAAAAAAATTGAGTTCTAATAAAAGACTGGAAGTCAGGTGAAACACAAGCTGGGACAAGCTGGGCTGCCCTGGAAGACTATCCAGAAGCTTCAGCTGGTACAGAGTGCAATGGCATGGCCATTGAACAATGCACATTACATCTCTGCTCTGCGAGTTTGCCAGTTTGCTTTCGGGTCCAATTCAAGGTGCTGGTTTTGACCTTTAAAGCTCTGCATGGCATGATCATGTTTTATTCTAGGGATGGTATATTTGTTTTTGTAATTTTTATTTTAATCTGGATTTTATATTTTTATGTAGCCTGTTTCTATATTTATTATTGTTTGATTGATGTACACTGCCTGGAATCACATTTTGTGAGATGGCTGTACAAATTGGATAAATAAAGTTTTTTTATTAAAAATGCAAGCAAGTAGCATTAATATGAAATGTTAGCATTGAAGAAAAGGGGGAAAAATTATCCAGACATCGCTTGACCATTTTTCTTGTTTTGACCTCTTTTGAAACTTTTTGTTTCATTTTACAAATGTATATTTGATGCATTCCCAAATGACACTTGTGTGACTTGAGCATATGTAAATAAGAAAAAGTGATGGGTTCTTTGTGTCTCTTAAAGGTCTTAGTAAAAAGAAACATTTTGGGCCTACATCTGAGTTATAATTAGGATGGAGAAAGCCTCGACTCCAGTGGTGATTGTTTTCACAAGAAATTAGTACTCTGGTGGAAAAAAGTTGAATTGACTGTCAGTGTAAAACTTATCCAGAGCATAAGTAGCAAAGGTGCCCACTGAAGATCTATAAACCTAAAGTAGATTTTATGTGAGTACACAAACCAGTAGGCATGGAGAAGCTGGTCTTGTAATTGGTTTTGGACTTCATTTTCTATACTCATTGACGACAGTCAGTGTTGGTTGGAGCAGATGGAGATATAGGCCACTTGTTCCCAATGCTTTCTGCATATTAATTTGTTAAAACAACAGAATATATTTGAAAACTACTATTACCTCATTCACTTGGCAGAGAAAGGATTCATGGCACTTTAACAGATGATAGTAGCAGTCCAGCTCTTGAAAAAATAAAAGCAAAGGACCAGGCTTCGTGTATACTTGGCACAAATTAGTCCATAAGTCTTAAATTGAACTGAAATTAGCAAAAGGAATTAATCAAAACTAACCCAATCTGTTTTCAGCAAAATTTGGGAATAATATATATTTTAATTTGGTTGAAGACAAATAATAATTTCCCAAAATTATCAAAGTCACATGGATAGATGCATTTATTTATTTTTAATAATTTCCACAAGATATTTTATTCAAATTCTAAATTAGTCACTATGTTTGTTTGTTTTTTTTAAAGTGTAAAAACTCAGATTACTTCATGGTTCCAGGATATTTGGCTTACTTGAGTAATATGTTTGCCATTGTAGAGTGGGAAACCTATATTTCAAATGCTCTTGTCTAGGCTCGTCAGTGGTCTGTTTAATTTCTGAAACATCTATGGCTTTTTTTTAAAAAAACAAGAATGTTAAACTGAAACAGGCAACTTTGTATTCTGTTGATCTTTGAACAGGATGCTATGGAGAAAATGGAGAAAATTGGGCGGATTGTGCTGCCAAACCACAAGGATAAAAGGTAATAGGATTTTTCAGTGAGTTTTGTTTGTTAGAGAGTTATAAAATTGCATAAAGCTATTTATGCTGGGAAATGAATTTTTATCCCTTTGTTCTTAAATATCCATTTTTTTAAATATAACTTAGGAACATGTGGCCAAAAAATTGCAACCTGATGTGTAAGATGCTTTAAAAAAGATATATGTTGTTCTGAATAATATATCAGGTGATCAGCACATGCTAGGAAACCCATGTGTATTTCTCCATTCTAACTTGTTGAGGAAGTAATAGAATTTTTTATGGGAAAAAGAAAGCTGGTTCTCTTTCTCTATAGTTGCACCTTGATTATTTCACCAGTTTTTAACAATATCTGTGTTGCATCAAGTAGAAGAAATTAGAAAGACAGACAATAGTTAAGCAAGTAATTCCCCCATCAGTTATCTCTCTGCTGCAAGTCTCTCCCTATTTTTGACTTCCACTAGAAAATATTCCATGTTCATTTGGGGCCATATGAATTATGGTACGTTGGCGATGGTTGTCACCATGTAATGTTTTTTAAAGTGCTTATTGTGAACACATCGCCCTCCCCCTTCCAATCTTCCTTCTTTTGTCTTTTCTGCTCCTAGCCCTGACATGGAATAGAGGGGGTAAGGGCCCACAAGAGTTGATGGAGGAACATACGATGACTCAATTTTGTCATTTGTTTCTTCACTTTCATTTAGTACTGGCTGGCCAAGCCCTGCTTTTCAAATCACTGAATCTATCAATTTATGTACAGGTAGTCCTCCACTTAGGATCATAATTGATCCTGGAATCTCACTCATTCACTGAAGTAGTCATTAAGTGAGATAATGTGAGATTGCTTTGTTCAACACTGCAATCCTGGCTCTCCCAGTTTTGCTTGTAAACGAATGCACAGGTCATTAAGCAGAGCACAGGGAGAGGGCCCAGGACAGGTCTTCTGGGCATGGTGAGGTGGTGATAAGGCAAAAGCCTCCCATCATACTCAGGAGGCCAAGGCCTTGCTCCAGCAGGGAGAATGATTGCAAGAATGATGGCGTTCACTAGCATTTTTCCTTCCAGAGGGATGAGAAAATAGAAAATTTCTACTTTTTTAAAGTTTTTAAGGATCTGGGCATCCACTCCACTTCTGCAGTGTTAACAGACTGTGTTTCATTTACAAAACTGCTTGGAACTTCTGTCCTCATCCTAACCTGTGAAATTAGAAAACCAAGACTTCTGAAGAAAATTCCCGACACTTTCCTTTCTGTGATCTTTCTAACTATCCTGCCGGTATATTGTTTATTTAACATGCTTAGTTTCCTGGGTGCAAGGGACCCAGACTAAGATCAGACTAGATTCTCCTGCCCTCCTGCCAAGGCTCAGCAAACCCTTTGGCTTTGCCTAAGGGGAAAAGCTATCCCAAGAAACAAATTTGGACTCCCACTAGGACTCCTAAACACCATAAATTCACAACAAGAATATCACATATTTTCAAAGGAAGAACTTAGTCCCTGTCATCTCTTTTGTAGTCTTTGATTGGAAGACAGTATTTTTGAACTGAGGGCCCTCTGCATTTATACATTCATTCAGTGGTGGCAGGATGAAAGATGAGTGGTTCAAAACATCAAAATCTTCCTATAGGAGTGCAGAATATTTCTTGCTTTCAGTTTACAGGTAAAGCAGAGGATTGAACCTGAAGCGGGTTATCAGTCTCCAACAAGATGGCAGAACATAATCAGAGAACATTCCTTTCATGAAGTTTCTTAAGTGAATTTACTTTAGGCTCAAAGGAGGTTTCTTCAAATAGTAAACAGTAGGGAATCTTACTGAAGAAGTGCATTGGTGCCATCTGCAGGTTCACTGAAAGTTTTACATATAAAGTCTATGTAGAATACTTTGCTATTTGCAGTGAAGACTTCAGTCTGTTTACAGGTTAAGAATGTGAACACAAAATGAATTCTGGCAAAATGGATCTAGATTTAAGATGACTCAGAAAAAGTGACAGTGAAACATGGAGAATTCCAGTACTGTGATGCATTCAGGTTTCTGTTGCTTTAAATCTATCAGTCAGGACACCCTGACAAATTTTCTTTTGTAGTTGGAAAATCAAAAGGAGCTAGGTCATTAGCCCCGAGGCAATAAAAAGTCATGAAGGGATGGGCCTAGATTAGATTATTTGAACCAATACTTTCTGGGTTTGACATTGCCAAGATTCTTCCCTTGTTTACACATTGGTCCCGGCACATGCTTCTATTTTTAGGAAGTGGAACAGCTTCTCTAAAGCATTCAGATTAAGTTTCCCACTGGTATTTGATATATTGCCTGTCATTTTGAAGTAAGAATTCTGAAAACACATCAGATACTCTCTGGCAATATGATAACCTGCAAGAAAACAATCCTGGTGATATTTCGGGTGGTTAACTGCAATAACTGCAGATTGTGAAATATCACTTTGTATAACTATCCAGCAATACAGAAGAATGTATTTACCTGCTCTGTAAAGCCATAGAATTCATGACCTAGATTTTAAGTAGCTCAATTATAGTTCAGTCTCTTGATTGACCAATTCCTAGCTCACTTCACTCTATCACTCATAAAAGAAATAGTGTATGTGTGACTCTAATAGTAAGAGCCTAAGTATTAGAACCACTGAAATAAACACAGAATCCCACATTTTATGTTTGTACTTTATAATTATATAGGACTGGATACATTAATAATATGTTAGAGGAATGGGAGCCTTTTGGTAGTTTACAAACACCTTGAATGGGGCATCAGCAGTGGAGTTTAAAAAGTCAAGATAGCATTGTAATTGTGCAGCCAAGTTCCATCTCTGTGTTTACATTGACCATGGTAGAGTCTCATTCAATAACATTGTAACACAAAAATGAAATATTTTCTTGCTATAGAATGACAATGGGTATACTTCAGAAGTTGTCCCTCCACCTGTGCTAAATAAATACAGTTGAAACAACTTATCTGTGATTATCATTTAACTACCGCAAAATTCCTGGCAGCTTCCTTTTAAATTATTTTTATATAGTGTTGCTATAGAATGTTGCATGGTTTCAAGAAAGAATGGGGAGGGGGCAGAATTTTACTGTAGTGCCTCAGTTAATAAGTGGCTAGTTTCATATTCTTTTTCAACTTTCTGGTCCAGCAGCTGCTAAACTTCTCTCCCCTTTTTATCATCTCAAGTAGGAAATGAAATGGAATTGGACATATTACCAAGGTCCCCTCTAGAGCAAATTCAGTGGTATTTTTTGGTGTTTTGTTATTTCAACTTGTCAAAAACTTCAGGCAGATGGTCCCTATCTAACTGAATCAGAGCAGCATCACAGCAATATTGTGCTAATCCATAGGTCTTGTTTGTTTCACTGAGTTTAGCATAGAAGAGGCCTACTGCATTCTTTTTAATGTTTAGATTATAAATATTGTCCTTTATCTTGTTGGGCCTTATGCTTTTTCCACAGATTTTATGACAAGAAATACCAAGTGTTTCTAAAACTTGCGGAAGATCAAAGAAAATATAAATCCATCATGCAGAATGCATAGACAGCATAAAAAAGAATCATCTTTGATATCAGAGGTCTGACTGATTCCTTTGACTTTCTTGATTAGTTATTTACATTAATGAGAAGCATTGCAATAAAAATAAAAAATACTTTATAGCCTATTGAATATGAATGTAAGTATACTTTATTAAGGTGATATCATGGTACATTAAACTTGTCAATTCTACATGTCTTGGATCAGTGTCTCAACCAGAACTACAGCTATCATTCAGCATTCACACTTTTCAGAATTGTATCATCTGTTAAAAAGCTTGCAAAAATATGTACATTAAGCAAAAGTGTATAAAAAGAGATACATTAGATAAAATATGCAGAATTCATGTAATCTCCCATGCATTTTTAAAATTTGCAACCTTATATGAAAATAAAATAAACTGAAGCTTGGGAAAGTGCTAAATTAAGAAAAGTCAAAATTATAAATGGACCTTCATTGGTCAGGCTTTCCGTTTAATGTCAAAAACTAAATTGCTGCTTATTGTTGTTCTCTTTAATAAAATCAAGAGTCATAATATGATATTATGTGAACCAAGAGCTAGGAAGACATACCACTTAATGAATTCTGTAGAAAAGATTGCTGCAAGAGCTACATACATTTTTACATCATCAGTGTAATTTTAAATGTATCTTAAAACACATTTGTCAGCCCTTCAATGTAGCCTAAGTCAAGAAACAGAATATTGGATTCTTGTTATACAAGAATGTTGGATTCTTGATATATGCTAAGTAACATGAAGTTAAAAAAACTGGTTGTGTTTTCCTTTCCATCCTTCTTATATCCAGGATGTTAAGGCAGAATCCGTTTGAGCTTCTTTCTAATGTCCTTGTTTCCTGGGTTTAATAAATGCAGTTTGTTCAGGGTGATCTCCTGTGGCTCTGCAGTATTGCAGTTTTTGTTTTTATCAAAATTAATAAAGATCATTCATACATTTTTTTAGTATATTCAGTTATTTTAACTGAGTGGTTTAATCTGAAATTTGCTCAATTATTCAAATTTTTTAAACATAAAAATAAAAGTTTAGATGAACATCAGATAAATTCCCCTCCTACAGCTCATAAATTCCTAGGTTTAGCATTATTGTTATCTAGATAATGTTGTTTTTGTTTATGGTCTGTTACCTATACTTTTTTCAATACCCTACCACAAAAGAATAATTCAGTATTTGGATAACCTTACATTTGTTTCAAATACACTGAGTAGTCCAAAATATATTTCAGAATATTCAGTTTGTAGCACCAGCTTGGGATAAAATGAAATAAAGTTGCAGCAGAATTGGCTGGTGAAGAGGAATAATAAATAATGACTACCTGAGAGTTTTACAACTATTTTATGTTTCCTTGTAGACTCTTGTTTCTCAAAACTAGCCTTTCTTGCTTGGGTTTTCTAGGATAACAGTACAGGTAGCCCTCAACTTATGACAGTTCAATTAGTAACCGTTCAAAGTTATAATGGCATTGAAAAAAGTGGCCTATGACTGACTGTTGCAGCATTCCTATGGTCATGTGATCAAAATTCAGATGCTTGGCAACTGACTCATATTTATGACGGTTTTAGTGTCCCGGGGTCATGTGATCACCTTTTGGGACCTTCTGACAAGCAAAGTCAATGGGGAATTCTCTGAGATAATTTTTACAAAAAACCTGATGTAATTAAAAAAGAAAGAATGCAATCCTTGGAACACTGTGAAGAATAAATATATTCATAGATGTATACATATTGTATTTAGATAAAAATAGTTTCATGCATAACTAATGTATAAAAGCTTGTGTTGTGAAGTGATTCCACGAGAGTCTCAACATAAAAAGGTTGCACTGGGTTACATGTGAAGTGGACTGTGTTTTTCATTAACCATCACTTTATTTTGTTCGTATTCACATACTCCTATGATTCTTATGAAAACATCTATACTTTACCTTTATACAGTCCTTAAAATAGTTGCAAGGATATTCCCCCAAACTGCATTAAGTACACAACATCTCGTTGAAAAGAAATAATTAAAGCTCATTGAATTAAAGTTATTTGAAAAGGTTTCTGCAACTTCACTGCTGCCATCAAATATAATTTTTCTCAGACTCTTTTGTCTGATTCATAGTCACATTTATTCCATTACAGTGCTGCTTGTTCATATCTTGTTTTGACTCTAGAGCAGGGGTAGGCAACCCAAAACACTCAAAGAGCCACTTGGATCCGTTTCCCACCCAAAACAAAACACTGGGAGCCGCAAAACCATTTTGATATCTAAAATGAAGATAACACTGCATATATCCTTTTTTACCTTTATTATAGGGTGTGTGTGTGTTTGTGTGTGTGTATGTATGTGTGTGTGTGTATATATATATATGTATATGTATGTATGTATACACGCACACACACACACACACACACACACACACACACACACAGAGGTAAAAAAAGGATATATGCAGTGTTATCTTCATTTTAGATGTCAAAAGGGTCTCTCTCTCTCTCCCTCTCTATCTGCCCTTGGTCTGCCACTCCTCTTCCCCCGCTCTCTTTCTTTCTCTCTCTCTCTCTTTCCTCTCTCTCTCTCTCTCTCTCCCCCCCCCCTCTCTCTCTCTCTCTTTCTCCCCCCCCTCTCCTATCTGTTGCTCACCTGACAAGCTTCAGGCTGTTGTCCAACAAGATCAGGGGTAGGCAACCTCGTCTCTTTTATGACTCATGGACTTCAACTCCCAGAATTCCTGAGTCAGCCTAGCTGGGCTAGCTAGCTCTCTCCTGCCCTTCCTGCTTCCTGCAGAGACGCAGCGAAGGGAGGAGTTCCGCCCAGTAAGCTTTTCAGCTCCTCGGAGAACACTGTGAGTGCACTGTCTTTTACACACACACATACACACACACACACACACACAGAGAGAGAGAGAGAGAGAGAGAGAGAGAGAAGCAGGGAAGCGCAATTCCTCTCTCTGTCTCTGTCTCTCTGCAAAGGCAGAGGAGGCTGGGAGCCGCAGGGGAAGGCTCAAAGAGCCGCATGCGGCTCCGGAGCTGCAGATTGCCGACCTGTGCTCTAGAGAATATAGGCAGTCCTTGACTTACAATCACCATTGTGACCAAAATTTCATTTGGTAAGCAAGATGGTCATTAAATGAGTCACGTCCAATTTTGCAACCTTTTCCCCCATGATTGTTCAGTGAATCACTGAAGTTCTTAAGTGAATCTGGTTTCCCCCATTGATGTTGCTTGTCAGAAGCTCACCAATGGCAATCATGTGACCCTGGGATGCTGCAACAGTCATAAATACACATCAGTTGCCAAGATCCCAGATTTTGATCATGTGAATATAAGGATGTTGTGATGGTTGTAAATGCAAGGACTGGTCATAAATCACTTTTTTCAGTGGTGTCATAACTTCAGATGGTGACTAAATGAATGGTTGTAAGTCAAGGACTACCTGTAATGTTTATTGTAGCCAGCTGTATATTCATGTTTACTAGGGATAGAAAATAAGTTTGTTCTGAACCTTGAAGTTTTGTCTTAGATAATAATACTCTAAAACAGTGGTTCTCAACCTGTGGGTCGGGACCTCATTTGGGGTCGAACGACCATTTCACGGGGATCGCCAAACAACGCAGTCCGCCATTTCCCCCCCCTTTTTTCTTAGCTGTTCTACTCCCTTTTATTCTATTGGCTTTTGAAAGCCAATAGAATAGACTCTCTTGAATAGAGTCTAATTCTATTGGCTTTCAAAAGCCAATAGGAATTGTCCAGGCTGTCTCTGCCCTGCTGAGCCCGCCAAAAGTCCCATTCTGCAAACGGTGCTGCACCAGTTGAGTAGTCCTCGACTTACGACCGGTTGAGTAGTCCTCGACTTACGACCGGTTGGGGGTCGCGGCATTAAAAAGGTTGAGAACCACTGGTCTAAAATATCTCTCAGTTTAGCTGTTATACAGCTGAAACCAACTCTGGAGTTTTCCAGGGTCCTAAGACAAGGCACATCATCCCCTTCTTTGCCTCCTCTGCGTGGCCTGTGAAACTCCCTGCCACTTCCTCATTTTCTCTGTTTCTTCTACTTCCTAATTCCTGTGCCTGCTCCTAACTACCAGCAACAATATCCTAATCGGGGTTATATCAGTTATTGGGTCTTCCACACGATATCCTAAAATGTATTCTTAAAACAACAGCAATGCCTGTTTAAAGATTCGGAGACCTCACTGGGTTTTAGTCCTTTATTAGCATAACAACATCTGGCCAAAATATTCTCTATCATTTGCTTACAGTTCAATGCAATACAATAGCCCTTAATCACTTTTTAAAACTAAGTCCATTATAAATCCATTATAAATGTATCATGGCCTGGTTAATTTTGACCTTTCAGAGACATTGCAGTTCCTTCCATGATGATGCCAAGGTAATATTTTATTCCCTATAGATCATCATGTTTGTGCCTTCTGATTCTATTCGAGGGCAAATGTTTATAAAGCTAATCAAAAGTAAGATTATAACAGCTAAGTTATCAGCTGCCTGCAAGATCCCACAAAGAGGTTCAGGCATCATTTCAAGTGGACAGGTCGAGCACAGGATGGTGCCAAAAAAACAGATGACAACTCTGAAGAGAAAGATCCACAGGAGGCCAGCTAGCGTAAAGATTCCTCTTAGGATAACAGGGACAAGGAGGGGTATGTCATAAAGATGATCTATAAACTAAGCACAGAGATTGGGTAAGTTAGGAATCTACTACTTTACTGTTAATTTAAATTATTCTGATTTTAGGGGAAGGAATTTTATAGCTGGGAACTTGCCCATTGCTAAATTCCATGGAATAAAACTGAACAAAGCAGAATAAATAACTAGGCAGCTCTCTTTTGTCCTCCTCACTTGGTCACCCCAAAAGATTGTTTTCCTTTGGCATGACAGCCACTATATCTCCTATTTAATGCCCCATTAAAAGAAATCACAACTTGTGTAATTTAACTTCTCCTTAGGAGAATACCCAGCACCACTTCACTCATGGAATCTTGTCAATATACACCAACTTAATGGGACCAATTTTCTTGATGTGGGAAATATTGCCACTTACAGGCTGAGGGTATCCTGAGAAGCGTTTGTTGTAAGTTCTGATGTCATAGAAAGTTCGCTTGCTTTTCTTGTCAGGCCGGTTTTCAGAACAGGTGTACAAAAAAACAACCTTGTAATAATAATAAAAACACAAGACATTTAGAATCAAGGTATAGGTTTGTCTTCTGCTAGATAGAAAGACCCAATTAATTAATTATATGGATTTACATAGCCAACCATCTCACATATGTGACTCTACATGGCTTACAATAAAAAAGATAAATACATATTATATAAAAATGAAAACACGTAACTGCTAAGTATCATAAAACAACCATCAACGTGGCCTAGATATGGGCTCTATCACACATCCAGTCCCCAGACTCGGGTACAAACCCAGGTTTTCAGGGCTGTTTGAAAGTCCAGCAGGGTCAAGGCTAGTCTAAGAGGAAATGAGGCTGGGCAGCTCGGCAGAAAAATCTATCCTGTTCTCTACCTGCCAATATTGTTTAGCCAACAAGACTGCAGAACCGGACATGTCGTGATTTTCTTATTCCTTCCTTGATTGCTATTTCTTTGAGTTTCTAGGTCAGAGGTCCCAACCTTTTGGGCACCAGGGACCGGTTCCGTGGAGAGAGGTTTTTCGGAGGGTGCATGGTTTTTTTGTGCTGCCTACATCTTGCAAATGGGGCTTTACTTGTTTGTGTGGACCAGTTGCTGGCATGCCGCGGCCCGGTACTGGCCCACGGCCCGGGGGTTGGGGACCCCTGTTCTAGGTTATATGGTTTGCTCTTTGAGATTAATGTCTTCCACAGCATCCTTGCTTCTTTACATTGAGACCTTTGTGCATTTTGCTCCACAGCCAGCAGGTGAAGCTCAGTAGAGTATAAGAAGAAAAAAACAAACATTTATTTATTAGATTTTTATCCTGCCTTTATTATTTTTATAAATAGCTCAAGGTGGCAAACATACACAATACTCTTTCTTTATGACAACAACAACCTGTGAAGTGAGCTGGGCTGAGAAAGAGACTGGCACAAAGTCACCCAGCCAGTTTTCATGCCTAAGGTGAGACTAGAACTCACAGTCTCCTGGTTTCTAGGTCAGCACTTTAACAACTACACCAAAATGGCTCTTTGAAGACCATCAACCTTTTTTAAAAGAAAAAAAAAAAGAAAGCCTGATGCAAGTATACTGTTTAATCATTCATAGTTCTTTGATTTGACAAGCATGAAATTAGAAATGCTGATACCTATATTAGCTTAAGGAATGAAAATCTGAAATATGAGAGAGTTATTCTTGGCATTTTTCTATCTTCATTTGTAACTTCAAGTAAAAGATGAAAACTCTTACTTCTTGCCTGCACAGTGGACAGTTGATTGCTCTTAGCCAAGACCCATGTTTCCAGTATTCAATTAGACAGTAACCTAGGAAAGGAAGACACGTCTTTGTAAACCAAAACGTTGCATAGTGGGAAAACGCCGTAGCCAACTTTGTAGCTGTTTACACTGAAAGCTGCTTTCTATATTACATGATCTAACCAGGAGTAGTTTCTTTGTTCAAGAAGGCAACAAAAACTCAAAGTAGTTGAGGTAGCCAATATACTGAAATTTTAATTCCACATGAGCCAGTAATTAAATGGATATCCATTTGCACATTTGAAAACAGAATTAAACGTTGCTTGAAAGCTTAATAGTCACGTTTTGCACTTGTTTCCTGTGTTGACATACAACAGCAAAGCAGATCTGAAGGCTGGAAAAGCAAACCTTTTTCAAGCCAGGGTATTTGTGGATTCAGACATTTCAAAATGACATTGAATCTTTCAATCATGTTTGTTGCAGTTCTTTTTTTTTTTTAAGCCCCCACAAGAAACATTATTAGTAATTAGAAATAACATTAGCCCAATCTTAGTGTTCTGTGTTATTTCCTGGACATATGGTTTGAAGTACAGTTGAAATTTGAGACTTTTGGAAGATGTATAGCAATTTGTAACAATAATACAAAAGAACAATTGTGACTTTTTTTAAAAAAAAGTGCCCTATGATTAAAAACTGTAGATAATACATTTTCAGTACTGTATTTGTTCCACTCTTGCACCTTTTATTGTAATGCCAAATATAATGAAATGTGCAGCTTTCAAAAAGAGTGAAATTTAGCTAGCCCAAAGCCTGTTTGTACTGTACTTTCTTAAAATTATAAGAAAGTGGAGGAAAATTATAAATATTCACTGGGAAGTTTGCCTATTGCTATCTATCATTGTGTGGATGTGTTGATTAACTCAAACTATTTGTATGTTCTTCAAGCTTGTACTTTGGGAAGTTTGAAATAATATGGTTTATACATTTTGTAACTTTTATTCCCTACTTGGAGCATCTAATATTAGAACAAAGAGGACAGGAAGAGATTCCTGTGTAGGTGTGGTTAACTGCATGAATGCTCTTGTTTTATAGCAAAAAGTCAGATAATATCAATTCCCCTTCTTGCTTTGATAGCCAGATGTTTTCAATATACATGTGTTGCAATATGGCTAAATTAAATGTGTTGCCTTTATGTGGTCTATCCTATATAATAGAGTGAAGTGGATACCAAAGGCAGTGAGAGAATGAGAATTACATTTTAATATAATTATAAATGTGAGGTTTTACTCTATTCGTTAAATTACTTACTAATCCATATCAGAATGTTATTTGTACTACAATGGTTCTGGAGGAACAGGTTTATTCTAATCTGATCTTAAATGCTTGTAGAATGATGCTGCAAAAATGAAAGTGTCACATTATTGGTGCAGTGCCCATTATCAGAAAAATAGCTTTCTTCAATACTATTGTTTTGCTGTCTTAGGAATGCTACTATTTCTTTTCATATGTTTCATGGTATAAACTTTTGGGGAGCAATTTCTGCCATGAAAAATCTTGATACCAATCCTATATTCTACACTGCTCTTTGGGGATAGATTTTTAAAAGCATTGCTGGTTGTTCTATGTTATCCCTGATAACAAATGGGATTTTTTGGTGTGTGTTTACTGTTTTTAATAACTGCACCTTAAAAATACTTTGAACATTCTATTTTAATTATCTTAAAACTATAAGCCATGCAGAGAATATTTGTTTGTCACAGTGCTTTTTTTGTAAAAAAAAAAAAAAAAAAAAGGTGCCGGAACACACACACAGCTCCGGCTCCAGTAGAAAGCCCTTTATGGAGCGGGGGGAGGGGGGGAGAAGAAACCGTTTTAGGGAACTCACCTGGAAAAGTTCTGTCTCCTCTTTGCTGCGGGTCCTCCTCTTTGCTGCGGTTCCTGCTGCCGCTCCGATCTGAGGCCAGGAGATACGTCCATAGCCCCCCACGGCCATGGATCCAGGCTCCAGAGGCCTGGAAAAGACCTCTGTCACCTGGATCCATGGACGCGGAGTGATTTTTGTGGCCCCCTGCAGCCCAATCTGGGCTCCAGAGGCCTTTTCCAAGCCTCCGGAGCCCAGATCCATGGCCTCAGAGTGATTTTGCGGTCCCCCAGCGGCCCGATTGTTCCGCGGTCATGGATCTGGGCTCTGGAGGCTTAGAAAAGGCCTCCAGAGCCCGGATCGGGCCACACGGGGGCCGCAAAATCGCTCCGCGGCCATGGATCTGGGCTCTGGAGGCTTAGAAAAGATCTCTTGAGCCCGGATCAGGCCGCGAGGGGGCCGCAAAATCGTTCTGCGGTCATAGATCCGGGTGGCAGAGGTCTTTTCCAGGCCTGGATTGGGCCATGGGGGGCTATGGATGCGTCTCCTGGCCTCAGATTGGAGCAGCAGCAGGAACCGTGGCAGAGAGGAGACAGACCTTTTCCAGGTGAGTCCCGCACAGCAGGAAGGGAGGGGGAAGCATGAGAGCGTTAAGTGAACACTCGTAACTCACTCGCGCTGGCAGCTTAGAAGGAACTGGTTCTTCCGTTCAAAAAAAGGTGCCAGAACGCTGTTCCATGTGTTCTATGACAAAAAATGCACTGGTTTGTCAGTAGCTGTACACATTTTATAAATTAATCTTATAAACCTTGGGGTAGTTATTTTCTGTATTAAAACAGGTGCAAATCCACCACTCTGCTAGAATAAAGTTACAAGTTATTTGGTATTTTGCCAGTGTTATGTTTCAATATTGCCAGACACCACAGATCTTTTTTCATATACATTGGTGAGAAAGATACAGTTGGCAAAAATGTGCATGCAATATTCTCAAAATATATGTAAGCATAAAATCCACAAATATCTCTCCACATGATGGAAAAGTTTGCTGGAAAAAACGGCATCCTTTTAATCCTGTAAGATGCATGTTGTGGTATTTTAAAGAGCAGACATTAAAGTGTCTAGAGTGTTTTTAATAAAAAAAATAGGAGATTTGAAATTTGTTATTTTTTGTTTTTGTGCCTTTTTTCAGATGGCAGGAGGTAATTTTTTAAAATTTATTTAATTCTCAAGACAACAATGTTCATATTCTTGCTATTAAATTAGCTTAAAGCTTTGATTACCAATTGTTTTTGTTCTGTTTGATATAGCTGTTTCTGTTGGCCTTTTGCCAGCTCAGAGGCTCAGTACAGTGCTCCTGGCCTGAAAAGTATAAGTTTCCTGTTTAATTGTCCACAAGACTTCCTGAGTATTGCAAAACTTTATAATGTGTCTGTGAAACTATACAATAGCTGAGGTAAAAGGGTTGATTCATTTATTTTTTTCATAATAAAAATAGTGATGGGTGTATGCACTTTTACAATAGATATCAGGATACCAAATTTGAATATGTTAGCGTGAATATATTCAGAAATAAACAGTGCTTTTTTTGAAGAAAAAAAAAGGTGCCGGAACTCACACATCATACAACCCGCCTTGTCTACCCTACAAGGCTCCATCCAAAAAAGGTGCCGGAACTCCGTTCTGGGCGTTCTATGACCAAAAAAAAAAAAACCCTGGGTCACCAACAAATGTTATGATTTATTTCATGGAAATTTTGGCCTGTATCAGCTATCTTTTGCATAGTTCCATCCACAAATGGGCATTTGTCGCAAAATGTATATGCTCTCTACTGTTTAATTCTATAATTTCATGTAATGTTAACATTACTGTAGTCTTGCAAAATAAAATTTATAAGAAAATGTAGCCCAATTAACTTGCCACAAAAGAAATGTCCACAGTTGGTTTCTACAGGGAAATTAGCAGTTTGGAGACAGATAGGACAGCTCAAATCATTGGGGTAGCATTGCTGCCATCGTTGAAGACGTTCCTAAGAGAAAAAAAAAAATGCTATGTTTAAAGATATTCCAGTTAATTCCAGAAATGCTTCAGAAGCTTTAATATTTGTATATTGATCCTAGAAAACTGGAAAAACAGTACAGTCACAACGCTTAACAAAATGCTTAATAGTTTTATATATTTCTGAAACTGCCATACTAGTTGATGTATCACTATGGGTTTCCTTTGAAAACGCTTATCTAAGCACCAATTTTTTTTTTTTTAAAAAGTGGTAGGATGGAAAAGAAGTGGAGTAGCATATTAAAAGCAATCCCTTTAATACATGAAAACTTGATTAATGGAGTCATTCTGTTTTTATAAATTCAGCATATCATATATCAAGCCTCTGTTTGGAAAAGTAATCCTACTTCTTGTTTTTGAAGTTTCATCTCTTACCAGGAACCACATGTTTCTAATTAAGCTGCCATAAAATTCTGGGTTCAGGGATATTCAATTCTTCCTAAGGATAAATAATGGGAAGTTTGAAACTTTCTTGATACCTACAATTTTTGCACACATCTTTTGGATTTTATATTATGTAGCTTAAAAGATTTTGTAAACTTACTATTCTGGAGGATGAAGGAACACATTTCTTTTCCAAGGAACTCATTTCTTGTCTTTAAATTGAGAACTCTATAAAATAAGTAAGACTTGATATAATTATGATAATATAGGCTGTCGATGAGTCAGATTTGGTTAAATAGATGTACTCTCTATAAATACAGGAGGTTTTTTCCCCTCTACTATAAAAATGACAATCAGTAGCATTTTGGCAAAGGGTATTAAGAATGGAGTCTCTGAAGTGCTTACAGCATATTTTTTATATACTTGCCATCCTCAATAGGGCTGATCTCAAGCAGAGAAAGAAATGTGCTATTAGTTGATAGCAAGAGTATATTTCCAAATAAATATTTTTTTCAGAACTTAGTAGTATATAACTAATTTTATTCTCACTGAAGTTAAAAAAGCATATTGACTGAAGTCATTTATTTGTTTTATTAAATTTAGATATCGCCCATCTCACTATTTAAATTTTAAATTATAATTTCAAAATTATATAGCCTTGGATTAGGCAAAACTGGGAACCTAGATGTGATCACAATCTTGATTTCTATTTTTTAATAGTTCATATAACTAACCAGAAGTGACTGTGTTAGAAATATTTTTTTTTTTTTCATTTAAAGTTATTTCCAGACTGAAGGAATAACTTGTTAGAATCCATCGTTGGTTAACTAACCTGATATATTGTTGGAGACAGTTCACTCTTTTAACTGTGTAATCCAAACAGAATCTGGAGAGTTCTTTTTAAGCAACATAACAAAAAGGTCTGTGGACATTTACAGTTCCCGATCAGCAGACAGATCGGGTCAAAAAAAGCTGCTTCCTTATCTTTGACCCGAGACCCCATTTGTAGTTTTAAGTGACTCCTGGTTTAAAAAAAGCATCAGAGCTGGGCTCTGTTTATTTTGAGCTAAGTCCAGCATCTCAGATGAGTTATAAAAAGAAATTATTGTTACACAGAGTTAATGATTCATTGAGGCATTTGCATGCCACTTGAAAAATCTCTCTATCTCTCCTCAAAGACTAAGTCGGCAGACTGATCTTCACACACACTCTATCTCTCTGTACAAATGCTTTTGAGTCAGTCTTGACTTCTGATGACTACCTACACTAGTCCCTGCAGTTTTCTTGGCAAGATTTTTGGAAGTGGTTTGCCATTGCTTCCTTCGTAGGGCTGAGATGTGGTGGCCGGCCCAAGATCACCCAGTTGGCTTTGTGCCTAAGACAAAACCAGAATTCACAGTCTTTTGACTTTTAGCTTTTCACCACTACACCACACTGGCACTCACATGTCTATGTACAAACGTGTGCACTCTCACACACATGTACATACATAGAACTAACACTATCTTGCCATTATTTCTGGTTTAGAGGCTATTAAATTAATAAAACAAGTTACACTAAAAAAGCATATATTCTGGAGATTCAGTCTTGTTTTCTCTTTACTTAACTAGAGATCTAGAGAGGAAGTTTTTAGATGTCAAGCATATAAAATACTTAATAGACCAGTTATTAGAAATTGTGCTGCAGATTTATTTATTTATTTAGACCCAACACTCCCCATTCAGCATGCAATCATAACAAGAGCAAGCCTTGACCCTAAGATTTACAATGTAAGAAAGTAAGAATACATTGTGTGCTTACATAAGATTAAAGAATACTGAGACAGTAAAAGAAAGAATAACTGAAGGCCAAATATGTGTATGTCTTTCTTCCTGCTATATGATAGTACAGGAAAATGGCTATTGAATGACAGGTGGAGAAGTGACAAAATTAAGTTCTATAATTATGGTTATAGTTTAGTTATGTATGTATCTGTTATACAGAAGAATTCAAACCTCAGGAAGGGTTCAATACTGGTTGAAAAAGGTGGTCCTGACAATTCCTGGGAGTTGAGCCATGTGGGGCTTCATAGATCATGACCAACATGTTGAATTGGACCTGGGAGCAGATGAATGGCCAGTACATAAATCAAAGCACTGGGGTTACACTGTTAAACTTATTATCTGAGCCAACTTTGGCTTCTGAGTTATCTTCAAAGGCAGCCAAATGCATACTGAGTTTCAGTAACCTAATTGTAAGGTGAAGAGGGCATGAGTTATTCTCATAACAGTTTTTCACTCCAAAAAGTCTTCAAATTGGCATACCAATCAAATCTTGGTAAAGAGCTCTCTGGCCATGGCCTGCATCTACTGCTCTATAGAACATGCAAATCCAAGAGGACCTCAAATCACAGATCTGCTGTTCTTTGCTCACTACTGTTAAGAACACCCCGATTTTAAATGTGTGTCAACAGATCTATGAAGTACTCAACTTTTGTTCCTCTTCTATTGCAGCTTTTTGTATTGTAACTCATACTGTACGAGATCTCTCAATCCTCAGAGATGTTTTTGGGTAGCATACAATGAGGAAGAATCAACCTACTTTCTGTAAGCTGAAACAGCTCACCTTTGGATACAGCTTACTACACCCTAATGTAAACAAAAAATGCATAAAGTTCAGCTAAGTTTAATTTTTAAGTTGTGTTCATGTTTTCTGTATGATTTCAGGGAAGAATTTAGCATAGAATGTGGCTAAGACTTCCAGCACTTAAACTAAAATTGAAATTAATATTAAATATCTTTTTCAAAATGCTCTATCTTTACTTTCTGATGTCAAGAAAGAAGGAAAAATTATTTTCATACTTAAATGACAATCTCCCTTTCCCTCCCTTTTATCTTATGCAAAAGAAAATACAGAAAATTTAAATTTAAAATTTAAATTCACATCATCTTAGTTCCTTACCTGGTCCCAGAAGAGGCACACAAGGAATTATGTATGACTAAACTTTAGTAGATGCCTTGGGACAACTTTTCAAAAAAAAATATCTTCTGATCTTCTCTCTAGGTTAGGGTGACAGAAGAGTGTTGTGATAGAAGGTCACAGCCCATACTTTATTAAGGCGGGCCATTTATTTTAGTTAATAATTAACATGTTTGACTAATGTCAAGGTTTTGTAGAATTTCCAAAAACTTGTGGAAGCCTTTATTCCTCATATTTATAAGAATTAAATAATTAAAACTATGATTTAGTGATTTCAGAAAGATTCCAGATCTTGAGATATTAAATTAGGAACTATGTACATGTCCATCTTTAGACATTTGCAAATCTAATAAGAAAGCATGCTATCAAGTAAGTGTTGAAAGGAGGAAAATAGAACTTAAAATAATTGTATAATTATAAGGTGGAGGTGTAGTTCATTCCCCTTGCTGAGGGAGTTAGAATACACATAAAAACAGATAGAAAGAATACTTGCAGGGAAGGATTATTGCTGAAATAGAATCCATGCACCTTATTAATGTAGATTTGAGCACCATAGAGTAATATCTGGCAACCTACTTCTGATGATTCCTAGGGTGGATGAAATGGACCATGTATGACCTACCTTAAGGTGACCAACTGTCCTCCTTTAGGGAGGACAGTCCTCCTTTTGTGAGTTCTGTCCTCCCTTGAAAAGCGTCCTCCTACATGTCCTCCTTTTCGATATTTGAAGACTAATCTGCAGGGCTTTTTTATTTCTCATAGAACGCTCAGAACGGCGTTCCGGCACCTTTTTTTGATGGTTTTTTTTCAACTTTTGCATGAGCTGTGCTACTTCCCCTATTGGCTTGCGAAAGCCAATAGGAATTGCTGCTGAGCACGCCAAAACACGCGGCCAGCAAACTTTGCACATGTAAGTTGTCTGCAGCAAAGGTGAATTGGCAGGAACTTTGCACCCCTCCCTGCTACCCAACTACACCATTTCCTAGTTAGTCCTGAAGATACCTGGAGGAGACTAGAACGGCGATGCCACGGTAACTTTCTCTTGCTCTTCGGCCCTGCTAGGGCAATAATGGCTGCAGGCGCAAGAGGCAGGGACAGTGGGGCTGCTGCGGGCGGGGGTGTGAGGGGTGGCGGTGGCCGGCTGCCCGTGCTGTGGGAGCTGTAGGCCTGCTCTACACGGGGCTGTGCAGGGTGGGCGGTGGTGCTGGTGGGGCGGCTGCAAGGGGTGTGTGTTGATGGTGGGCTGCCCCCCGGGGCCGGAGCTGGTGCAGCTGGTGCTTTGGGAGCCACAGGGCCTGCTCTACATGGCGGGGCAGCAGTGCTGGCAAGGCGGCTGCAGGCAGGGGTGTGGCATGTAAGCATAATTACAATATAAAATGTTATTGTTACAAATGTTTTTTATTATGCATTTATCATATTATAGTGTATTCTGTATTATTGCAATGAATAAAATGTTTATTTTATTTACGATATTTTTTTCTTCAATTTATTTGTGTCTTCCTTTTCACTGTAAAAAAGTTGGTCACCTTACCTACCTTCAGGTGGGTCTATGTAGTTTCAGAATGATTTTAGAGTCATCAGCAATCAAAGACAGAGATAAGAAATCAACTTGTTCTTCAACCTTCTGAAGGGCTCAGTTGAGTATAGACATGTGTGAGAAATGTAGTCTTCAAACTGAGAGTTTGCACAACCTGTTGTTTTGTGCACCAAGTCCTCCAAAGGACAGACAGTGATTAATTCTACTAGAAACCAGATCTGTCTGGTCTATCCATTCATTCTAAAGCCTCTGATTTTAGCTAGCTTCCTTGAGCTCCTCAATTGGGATAGAAAAAAGCAGAGTTTTATAAACTGCCTGAGGCATTGTGTGAACAATTACAGTGCTCACCCCTAGTTCTCCTGAGAAGTTTCAGAGTTCTGTCCCAGGAACAAAAGCTAAATCTGTTATTCATGTTGTATGGGGAGGGGGATGCATCCTGGTGGGGCAAAATCCCTCCTGTCAAAAGTATCCAACAAAGCTAAAAAGATTAGATATGGGTTGGTTCTTTTTTATTACATTATCAAATAAAATAAAACAGAACCAATCCATATCTAATATGTTAAGTCAGCAAAACAAATTGAAACAGATGAGCAAAGAGGTGCTTTGGTTCAATGAAATTTTGAGAGAAGCAGCTCAAAACAAGTTCACAAAGCATTCAACCATCTTGCTGTTAAGGATGAAGGTTAGCTCTGTTGCTTTGCTTCAGTGTGCTTCATAGGCCCTCTGGAGCCTCTTCAAATACTTGCACAGATTGGAAGAAACTTTGATGCAAGGGCACCTGTGAAAAAATCTCTTCCAGTTTCTTGCAAACGCTGAAGGTTTATGAGGGGGCTTCACACCATGTCGTCCTTCACAACTTACTATCTTTTGGCACTTCAAAAGTGGAGGAGGTGCAAAATGACACTTTTCTCCTCACAGCCTTTTTGGTGTTTACAGATGCTAAAATTGTAGCTCTGAATAGTGCCTTGGCTTCTCTTTCAATTACACTTTACAACAAACTATGACAGAACAGATGTGATTACTGCGGAACTGATATTTTATCATTCCATGCAAACCTGTCAGAACAGATATCTATGGTGAATACACGTGCATGTGTATAGAGGTGTGTGTGTGTGTGTACATATACACATATCCAAAGAATACAAAAAAAATCAAGCCCCTTAGATAATTTATTATAAACATTAAAAGTTCAAGTTGGTTGTCATTTTCTTCTAAACATTTCCTGACTTGATTGACATATGACTTTTGAATATCCCTAAGTACAGTATTATTATTAATAAAATTCATACTGCGATTGGCTTACAGGGCCTGACTTTTGGTACAATCTGCATAATATACCCACATAACTAATAAACACATGTGAACATCTGAAAGGATATCAAATAGACTCCTGCAAATCTAGGTGTTTGCCCATTCACAAATGATTGCTATAGAGAGATGTAACCAGATACACCACACCAGGGCTTTTCAACCTTTTCACCGATTGTACCACTTTTAGGATATGGCAATATTTGAGTACCACCTAGCAAGGTGTCAAAAACTTGATGACTAAAAAAAAACTGTTCAAAGTTGCAATTGCACTGAAATGACTTATGACCATTTTTCATACTTATAACCATTGCAGCATCCCCAGGGTCATGTGATTTATATTTGGATGCTTAGCAACTGATTCATATTTATGACAGTCATAGTATCCCAGGATCATGTGATTCCCTTTTGCAACCTTTTGACAAGCAAAGTCAATGGCAGGGCTGCTGGTGGCCAAGTGCTAAGGTGGGACTTCCTTCCCTCCCTCCTTCCCTGCCTCCCTCTTTCTCATTCCCATCTCCTTCTGAAGGAAGAATTTGAACCCGCCTCCATATTTTCCCTCTTCCATATATTTATCAAACCAGGAAAAGCCTCCAGAGACAGAAAAGACAAGCCACTGAGTGAACTAGCTTAAAAAAGGTATATTCCCCTTTAAGAATTAGCTACTGGCTAGAAAGGAAAGTTAAGGAGCTGGCAGCGGGAACTTAAGGAAGAAAAAAAAATGTAATAAGTACTGGCTGCTAGCTAAGGCAGCCTCCCCAAATGGCTCCGTTCATTAAGTAAAGGAATGCTACAGGCAAAATCCATTTAGGAGAAAAATACTTCAAAATCCCTTGCAGCAAAACTTACAGCTAACAATAGCAGAGCAATAGCCAAATATTCTTGCTTGCTTGAGAATTTAAAAAGTGTGAACTGATTGTGCTGCCACCTTAAGCCTATCTAAGATTCATCTGGAAAACATGTCAGTAGGATTGTGTGATAAAGTTACATATTGCAACTTTAAGCAACACAGTGTTGTTTTCCATCCCAAAAATGAAACTAAAAAGTAAAAATTACTGAAAATAAAAAGAATTATAATTTCCTCTAAAGTGGCTCTCCTGTCTAAACAATTCTAAAACAATCAGCAGGAACTTCATGTTTTTAAGTGGAGGGAAGGGAATTAAATATATTTTCTGCCTCCAGGCAATATGGCCCCTTTATAAATTATTAGGATTTAATGTGAATCTTAAATTATGGATAGAAAATAGAAATTAAAAGGGCCAGTACTGGTGAGTAATACTAAGCGGAAGTTTCTTTTGTAGAGGTGAAATTAGCATGGGAAAGTAGGATTAAACCAATTCTGATCTTGTTTGGACTTCTAATAGTTGCTATCAGTAATTTAAGACTCACATTATCTCCCAGGGACATTGACTATTTTATGTGGTGTGGTTTTGAGTTACTTAATAACTCTCAATACTTGGCAGCTCAGTAGAATGGAAAAAAAACCCCCACTTCTGTGAAAGATCAAATTCCTCCCTAATTAATTAAACTGACATTTACTTTCTGTAGGTCTTTATGGTTGTTGCCAGTATATTTTGTTATATTCCTAATAAAGATCATAATGAGAGTAAGCTAACAGTTTTGTAATGGTGTCTAGCATTCACTCTCCACTTACTATGAAAAACAGACAATCATTTCTTTAGTGTAATATGTTTGTATAATTTTTATATTCTGGATATTCTATCAATGTTATTTCAGATTTTAATGCTACAAGCACTTTTTTCCTTCAAAATTAAATATAGCATTAGAATAAATGAAAAATGAATGAAGGGCATAGATCAAGGTATTTATTTCATAATAAAAATTTTGGTCATAAGCTAAATTACTTTATTAAGCTCTCCATCACATTATTACATGATGTGTGTGTGTGTGTGTGCATGCACACACCAGTGTATATGAATTAGTTTAACGAAGTAGTACAGCACTAGGTTAGAAACTGGGAATCAGTGAGTTCTGGTCTCTCTTTAGGTTCAAAGCCAGCTGGGTGACCTCAGACCTGTCACTTTCTCTTTTTGCCCTAGGAAGGAGGAAGTGGCAAACCACTAAAAAAAA